AGCGCGGTGAAACATAATGCCACACATTACAAGCTAGCCCAGCACTTAGCTTGATCAACTGAATAACTAGTTTCAACATAGAACTTTGCACAGATGTGCAGTAGCCCAAGTTGCCACACTCCACTCCATGTGGCAAACAAAACAAGAGAAGAAAGTAAAGAGAGATTCAAAGGGAGAGATAATAAGCAGAAATGTTAGGCGAAAAGAACAGTAGCATGAAAGAACAACAGAGTTTTATTTTTTTTATTATAGCTTGATTCCACACAGTATTTTGGTACAATTATGGAATTTTCAGCATGTGAAATCGGTAGCCCAAATTTAGCAGGCCGACCATAGATATCAGGTGTGCGCCGGCGGGGGATCGAACTTCGGACCATGTATATGGTTGGCAACAGTCCTAACCGCTGTGCCACTGATATGATAAATCACAAAGAGTGAATTCATCTGCACCAGCCATTGATAACCATCACTTTGAGCCACATCACTAATTGTCTCCAGTCTTTATTGGTTCTTACCATCCCGATAAGCACAACCGGTTAGGCAGTCAACACCTTCCTACGTGGCTGGCTGGCTGGCTTAAACTAATTGTTATGAATTTCATTGACTGGTGAAACAATGTTTTGTTTTGACCACTACTAGCTCTCTGTTTTCTACCCTGATCAGTCCTATATCAGCTAACACTGGCCGTCGAGGAAGGCGATGGATGACTAGGCATGCGTTACACATGTCCTAACTATCTCAATCAATGACCATTTAGCGTGGTGCATTCATCTACAAAAGTCAACCATTAGTGTTTACGACAAAAAAGCTATGCACAATCTAACTTTGACTGCATGTAAACCCTCTTTAAGGAAAAGCTTTCAATAACACAGGAATCTAGAGGCTGTTTCTAAAAGATGAAATCACTCTTTTTAACCGAACCAATCAAAAGTCAACTGCTTACTTCGAAGTCTAAACTACTCCAATTGTTCAACCAAGGAGTGAAAGACTAATGTCATACCAATCTGTAGTCACTATCTACTGAATTCTGTCTCTTGAACTTATCATGGAAGACTATAATCACTGTACGATTTTAAATGACTGACGACATTATGCAGAAAGATTTACATCTAAGTTTGGAAGCCTTGGATACTATTTTTATTTTTTTTTTATTTTGTTTACAGCTTGATGCCACACCGCATTTTCAGTACAAGTATGGAATTTTCAGCATGGATATCGATAGTCCAAATTTTGCAGGCCGACCATAGATATCGGGCGAGAGAGGAGCGTTGATGGTGTACATCCGTGTGTGTGTCAGTGGGTATGTGTCCGTCTTCGACATACAGTGTGTATCCATCATTATGCGTTTTATTTAGGTGATTCGACATAGTGGTTATTTTGAGGCAAGTGTTGATGGATGTATTGGGCGCGCTCGTGTGTGTGTGTGTGTGTGATTCGGTGAGGATGAGTAGTTGTTGAGTGTTGATTCATTGTTGGTGTGTTTGTGTTTGTGTGATTGTAGTGTGTTGTGTTGTGGTTTCTCAAAACCCTCTGCTCCCAGGGAGGATCGAACTCCCGACCCCTGGTTTACAAGACCAGTGCTCTGACCACTGAGCTATGGAGGCCCGTCCGACTATTCCACCACCATACCTCCATAAATAGTATGGATAGTCTAGATAACTAGAAAAACCTGACACATTTTGACTTGCAACTATCCCTATACTATCCATCTGTGTGCAGTCATTTGGAATTAGTGAAATTCCCACTAACCTTATGGCAAATAGCATAACAGCTTGAGGGCACTTTTTGCGACCAAATACTGATAATTCAACTAACTCGATGTTAAGATCATAACTGTTAGTCATTACCCTGATTTAGTGCGAGTAAGGGTGGATTCTGAATGCATCCAAAATTAGTATGAGTAACATCACTCTCCAGGTGACCACAAACGTAACTATTCATACTACACTTTTCGCAGCTATTTAACGAACCAATTCAATAAATCTAATCTAAATACCAGAAATGGTTTTTTTTTTGTAAACAAACTGGCATCAACGCCAATCAGCCTTCAAACTCTACAACTGTCAATCTAGGTCACTATCATTAAGAGTGCAAAATAGATTTGTTTTCATATAAGAATGACACTTTGATACATTGGAAATTTCCGTCCGTCTGTCTGTTTTCAACATAGAACTTTGCACATATGTGCAGCAGTTCAAGTCGACACACTCTCTCCTTGTAGCACACAAAGCAAGAGAAGAAAGTAGAAGAAATGCATAATAGAGACAGTAGACAGGTATATGCAACAAAAGGAATAGTATTAACGAAAAACAATAAACTCATATTGGATATTATAAGTCACAAGGAGTGGATGCATCTGCGCCAGCCATTGAGAACGATCACTTTGAGCCATATCACCGATTGTCTCCAGTCTACATTGGTTCTTACCATCCTGAGGACCTCAACCAGTCAGTCTGTCAGTCTACACCTCGCTACGTGGCTGGCTGGCTGGATTAAACTAACTGTTTTGGATTTCATTGACTGATGAAGCCATGTTTTTGTTTGACCGCCGCTAGCTCTTTTCCAATCTGATCAATCATGTCAGCTAACATTGCTCGTCCAGGAAGGCGATGGCTAGGCATGCGTAACACATATCCTAACCATCTCAATCGATGTAACTTCACAGCCTCGTCTATTGATTTCCCCTCCCACCTAACCTAGCACTCGACCAAGCATAACCTCAATATTGCTCACCTCATTATATCACCACCTAACACGGGAGATAGAACGCAGGCACCTATGATCAAAGAAAGCTAGCCGGCCTTTTCATGTCTTCCACTCTCAATGGCCAGGTCTCTCAGCCATAGAGGAAGACGGAGAGGACTACTGAGCAGTACACACGCCTTTCCGTCGATAGCCGGATATCACCTCTACTAAGCCAGAGACGGCGTAAACTGGCATATGCGAAACTAGCCTTCTGTATCCGTGCTGAGATTTCGTCAGCGATCAACCCGTTGGTGTTGGCTGATGCAACTTCCCAAATAAGTGAAGTGGTCATGCTCTACCACTTCACTTCCTATCTTTAAGCTTGGAGTCAATGTAGTCCAGTCGTGTAGCATCATCTTACATTTGGTGGGAGCGAATAGCATGCCAAACATCATCATTTGCATATTCTAAGTTAACGAGATGATACCCTGGTAACAAGTCAATCCCTGAGTCAACATAGAACATAGAGCAAATTTTTTGAAGTCCTTCTGAAACATTCATTAGTATGGAAGTCCTTGTGCATCGCACTGGGTGAAAACACAAAACTGACATTTCGCTACTTAATGATGATAACAGCTTTACTAAAGAAGTAATATTAAACCGGATTTTATAGAATCTCGGTTTTCATTTACAATAACTTGGTCATTGTTCTTCAGCGTAAAGTAATTTCCACGCTGTCAAGTTTGTGAATTGGTAGAATTAACAAACTATGTGCAGGCTGGTGGACTTGACAGGTGTGTGAAATTATAAAAACTGCATAGATTCAGATAATGAAATTGTTTATCACATTGGTGTTGATTTTGTCACTTCATAAAGGGATACTGAAGCCTGGTCAAATTTTGTCTTCATCCATCATCCTTATTCAGACAATTTGGATCCTACTTAGTATGAAGTGCTTTTGATATGAGACGTTCTTTGTGACTTTTGAAGTCTTTTTTCCGGATGATTTCAGTTTTGTGGCTTGATTCTATGGTGTACAGACTTATGGCTGACGATTTTTTAAGCTCTTTTAGTTCCATTCGATTTCTCAGTGGTTGATCAAAGATTTTACGATGTCCATTTCTTCTCATTTTGGTTTGTCCGACGTATATTGCATCACATTCTGAGCATTCTATTTTATAGATACAGTTATGTTGTGAATCCTTCGGAATCTGGTCTTCCACATGAAGAAGATTGCATTTTAGTGTATATGATGTTTTGAAGAAAGCACAGTACTTATTCAGTACTCTTTTGATCTATATGGGATAATAACTGTTGAGGTTCATATTTTCGAAGCACGTTTTCCGCCATGTTCAATAAAGGAATAAAATAGAAATAATAATTCAAGTATTGGTTTATAGGGGTTTGGTTGATTGGTTACAGGATGTCATCATGAGCTGACATTGGTTAGAGAACCATTGGAAAACCTGGGAGTACTGGACAGCTGTTTCGTCCTAGTTTGGGACTCTTCATCAGTACGCACCCACCACAGGGGTTCTAACCCAGGTCAGCGAGCTCGTAGACCATTAAGCCACTGGAACCCACCAATCCAATGGCCAGTCCATGAATTCTAACTTCTGTCAATTCACGACATAGCGCGACCACTAGCCAATGTCTTTGGTGAGTATTTGTCCTCACATCCGACCTGCTGCACCCTACTGGTCACGACTTCTCACTAGAACCCCAAGTAACTACCTACCTGAATAGGGCAAGTCGCTAGTGAGCATCTCATTGGTATTCAAGTGTTGGTTTGTAGGGATTTGATTGGTTACAGGATTTCATCTTGAGGTGACGTTAGTTAGAGAACCATTGGAAAACCTGGGAGTACTGGACAGCTGTTTTTTTCCAAAAATGAATAAGCACTACTCTACCTCAATAAAACATTATCAGTCAAAAGTCTTCAAATAATCCCAAAGTTTTAAATGTTAGAAACAAAGGTCCTAAAGAAAAAATAGATATTTTAAAATCGGTTGTGGTATTAAACACCTTTAACTCCACTTCACACTAACGGATTTACAGTCTACAGAATACAAGAACACTTAGTTCATAGTAAGCTGGTTGAAAGTTATGCAGAAGAAATGTGTCTACTTTGTAGTTAACTTCAAACCACCCAAAATGATTAGTAATCATATCCATGTGTGTAAACCACCTAATATTGTGCATCCTGACAAACAAAAGTGATAGAACAACCGGAGGAAATTGTATTAGTTATATTTCACGGGTATTTTGTGGCGATACAAGAATATTATGCCCAGTACACCGGAACAGAGACGAATCACCTTCAGAAATACTTAAAGTCAGCATAGACAAGTTGTGTTTATTTACAATCGCGTGTAAATTTACTAGAAAAAGTATATGATGACATAAGAGATAAACAAACAATTTCGGCAAATTCAATATAAACATGAAGATCATTGGAACATTTGACAAAGCTAATTAAAATCAAATTCCAATCATATAGCTAATTAGTGTTAAACCAACAGTCAGTAAGTAGATTAATACAAAAACGCCAGAAGACAGTCAGTGGAATGGCATAAAATTGGATTCAATTCGGGTAAAAGATATTGATAGGCTTCTAATTCACCGGTAGTTTTAAGAACAAGATGCATCAAATTCAGATTTATATTTTTCTACCCACTCGCGAGCAGAAATCTTTTGAGGTAGGACGTCAGCCAAAAAATTATAACGATCCAATTCAACCTGCAATCGAGATAAATCCTTGTAAGTTAATCCAGATTTATTTCCGCGCACCGCAGTAGATACAAGCTCACTAACAAACATCTCCTAAATCAAAAATAAAATAACTAGGCAGACACACTCACAGTAGCTTTCGAAAGACATACAACAGAATCTGATGAGACACATTCTACATCTGGAGAACTTTTCATCATTAACCTAGTCCTGTATGAAGGTATACGTAGTTGCATAACATCATCTATGGTACTATATCGCGGCATCTAACTGCAACCAACCCAAGGTCAAAATAAAAGTGTCCTTGAAAATCAAAAATGTGCCGTGTTACATTTTCCAATATCTAAGTTTCGACTAAAATTATTCCGCAAGCTCAAGAACAATGGGTGGATAAGGTGCTTGAAGGTCACTTTCGTCCATGACAATCGGTCATTTCAGATTGCTGTTTCCCAACCGTACGTTCACAGGCTTGCTTTTACGTTTATCCAGCAGTTATTCGCTACCTATCTTAAAGCAGACCGTCCACATGTTTGATATCCGATATAGTTTTTTACAAGCTATTATAAACCAAAATGATTACTTTACGCTTGCCTCTTGATTGTGAGGTAAAGGTTCCTGGTCTTCAGTTAACTTCTGTGTAGCTCGTCCCGCCACTCGACTGTCGTAGTTCTGGTTGACTCCAAAAGGAGTAGTGCTGGGATTAATTATATGCGGTTTGTAGAATGCGGTGTATTAAGACCGCGTTGCTACTGTGAATGGAGTTGATCCTTTCACCAGTCAATGTTGAGTTTAATATCCTTCTTGTTTCCACTGCCGTTAAAATCATTTGTTTCGTTTGTTTCTAAAGTTTTAACCACCAGATCAGTCCATTCATTTCAATGTAATTGCTCATACGTTGCTTCCATGCGTGGTTGCAATTTTTTGGTTATTTTTCAGCTGTTAATGGAATAACATTATCTAGGCAATGTAGGTTTCTGAACACAAAACATGCACTGTAAGACCAAATTAGTTAACCAAAGTTCAACTGTAAAAAGTACCTTAGAATCAAGGAGAATATTCACATGAAGGTAGAGTCAAAACTCTGTCCACAAGGATTGCACATCAGCGCTTCCCACGAATAGTTCGATGACTGAATTACCTTGATTTACTCAAAAGAACCACATCACCATACAATCACATTAAGAAGCTTTAAAATCAGCAACCAAATGGGAACAAAGAAAAATAGTGAGAACGAAGTCCACATGTAATATGCGAATGTGAAAATAATGATATGCTGTCCAAGTAACAAAGGGATGATAATTATAAAGATAGTTAAAAAGTCCAAATAAACCGTTCAGGAGGGATTTTCTAGACATTTATCCCGTTTTAATGGGTACGTTCGAATTTGGTGAAACTTTTGCACGTGTTTTCACTGATATTTATTTTTCAGTTCTGCTATATTATCAGCAATAATAATGGGCAAAAACTCTAACAAGTGTGTTCTTAGGAACACTAGTAATTTAGAAAATAGCTTAAGCTTATCTAGTAACTCATTATCACCCCTAAAATCAGCTGTAATTAGCAGTTCACCCAATACAAACGTTTCCAACATAATGCTAACACCTGTATTACAGGTGGAAGATATCCTGTCAGAAAAGGCAGAGATAACTAACTTAGTCTGCATCATAAACGACATGCAGCAACAAATAAATGACCTAAGGACGAAACTAAATCTTCTTGAACTGGTACCAGAAACAATCTTCCATCTTAAAAAGGAACTGGGGGATCTCACTTTCCTAAAAATCTTTAAATTGAAGACTAAACCAACCGATGCTGAATTGGAACATGCTAAGGAGCTAGAGAACACTATGGACTATCTGTCGAGCGAAGTTGTTAAGAGACTCGCTTCTAAACAGAACGCCATAGTGTACAACATACCTGACAATGAGCCCATAAAGTCGGTTCAGCACTCCTTGTTAAGAGCTGCAAACCTCTTAAGTAAACCCTGTCAGTGTATTAGACTAAATAAAAAAGAGTCAAACCGCACATGTCCCATACTTTTCAGGTTTGACATCTGTATAATGGCCGAACAATTTAGGAAATCTGGGGATACTTTGGCCTCCACTACGAAATTCAAAAATGTCAAAATAGTCTTGGACAAAACCCCCAAACAACGACAAGTAGCTAAAAACACCTTAGATACAAACACGATTATACCACAAATCATGAATAGCATCAGTGCCGAAGTATCGTAGGACACTGAAGCACAAAGTGACACTTGCACTGTACTAGGTGAACAAATGACACGCGAAGGTGAAGAGAAACCCAAAAGGGGCAGTAACACTGGAGTGGGTCCCGAAGTTCGTGAGAACACTCCTAGGGAAGCTACCGACCCGGCACATGAGGTAGACATAGATGCTCCCGCTACAGATAACCTACAAATATCGGCAGATAACACTGCACCCAGGGCCAATCAAGACAATCTCACTGTAAAAGCCGAAAGAAGTCCCCTAAAACCAAGGTTTCTCCACAGGCGTCCATATACCTCCCTTGTGACAAGCCCAACAAGCAGCATGTAGGCCTAAAAAAGAACTATGCACGCATTGCGGCAGGTCCCATAAAGGAGACGGAATACGTGAGTGTAAGAACCCTTCGTCGAACTAAGAGTAGTAGACAAACTGTGGACGACAGACTACACGAGGTTAAAGCTAACAGCAAAAATAGCTCTATTCACACAAAATCACACGCTAGCAGACACGCAAGGGGAGTCGAGCTGATTAAACAGAAGAGTGAGACCCACAATTTCCGTAATAGCCTAGGTTGTAATATGCATATAGGCTCACATAACCTGAGAACGGGACCCGTAATAAATAATGCAAACACATGGGCTACTAGACGGGACACCACTAGGTACCATATGAACGGAAATGCATACTCGAACCCTCGTAGTAGTTACGTAAAGCCCCATCGGCATAACGAGTATAGACTGACTCACGGTCCTTCTATGTACATGCACGAAATGAGTCCACAAATGAACAACTGCGACGCACTACCCTCAAAACAACCTAAAAACAGGTTATTTCGGCCCTGTAAATAACAATCCGAATAGTGAGACAGACTTTCTAATGCCGAGGAATGATTCCAGATACCCACGCAATGAGGCCAGAAACCAATATATGCAACAGGATTATTTTCGTCTGCAGCAAACAATAGCCCCTCTTGCAGCACAGTTTGTTCAGGGAATAGTAGACACGCTGACAATGTCTCATCTGAGAATCCCTCTGAACATAACATAGGCAACCAGGAGTTAGGGATAGTAACAAGAAAACCCACTAATTACCCTCCCAACAAAACTGGTTTTCTGAAAATTATGCTCTTAAATGCTCGATCTCTCCTTAACAAAATAACTTCCCTTCGCAGCTTGGTATACATGGAACGGTCAACACTGATCCTGGTAACTGAAATTTGGCTAACTAATTATATACTGACACAGAGCTGGTAATTGATAACTACGACATCCACAGGAATTATATAGTGGATAAAGAGGAGGCGGGTGTCTAATATATGCCTCTTAATCCACTGGCTCCAATGCTATTACCAACTCAACCATCAATAAACTCTCAGAATCTAAGTGGATGGACCATCACAATAATAATAATAAAATTCTAGTGGGATGTATATACAGAGCCCCCAACAGCCCTAAAACGACTGATACGGTTATCGGAGAAATACTAGAGCATGTACCTACTCTGGAATTCGACTACAAAATAATAAAAAAATAATAATAAATAATAATAGTAATAATAATAAAATAATAAAAATAATAGTTAACCTCCCCGGAGTGAACTGGGATACCTGCACTGAACCTAGAATCCATGACGAGCTACTAGAAGCTATAGATGTAGGAGGATGGAAACAGTGCGTACGCCTCCCAACACGGCATAACAATATTCTCGACTTAGTCCTCTGCCACAAAATAGAGCCGATCTCGATAGAGGTGGGGGATAAACTCGACAACAGTGATCACAACATACTGTACTGCACCCTACCTCTTCAACAAACAACTAAACACACACCTAAAAATTCCCCGGTTCACTATCAATATAGGGACTAAAGAAATGCCGACTGGGAAGTCCTACCAAAGCTCTTGAGAAGCTCTGACTGGGATGAATACTTTGCCAAAAATAACTTAGAAGTGACACTTGATACCTTCTAAAAGACAGGTAGTTCGGTAAGAGACACAATCGCACCCCTAAAATCTGCCCTAAAGACACCAACTCTATTCATGGACTGCAAAACGCGATTAAAACTAAGGAAACTGAAAAGGAAATTTTATTTATATAAAGAATTTAGTGCATTACACCAGATACATGAAACATTTAAAAATCTTCAGGAGAGACATAAAATGAAGGCACAATTCGAGGAAAATAAAGCCCCGGGGGCACCTCCAAAACTCAGGAACTCTGCAAGACCTTGCAAAAACGACCAAAAAGAGTAAAGACAATAATATTAGCCACTTGAAGGTATAATTTATAATGATCTCCAGATTATTTGTGAACTCCTAGACCAGTGGTCCTCCAATAACACCAAAGCGCATCCGTCCCCAATCCTCGACATAACCTGAAAAAATAACTACGAGTTAGGTGAAATCAACTTTAATATACAAAATATAGCATCGGCATTAAAAGCTAACGTTAGTTGTGGGAGAGATGATATACCATCTGTCATATACAAAAACGGTGGCACGGATATGATAGCAATATTAGAATAATAATAGAATATTAACCCTCTCACTAGTGACTGGAACCTACCCTGAAACTTGGAAAAAGACGTATATATTACCTAAGCATAAAGGAGGGGCCAAAACTAGTGCATGTAATTATAGGCCTATCTATATAACACCTGTCATATAAAGGATCATGGAGAGAGTAATCAAAGACCAAATGTCAGACTACTTTCTTAAACACAAACTCATCAACCAGTCACAACACGGATTCCTTAAGGAAAGATCTTGCGTCACTTGCCATATAGACTTTTTCAACGAAATCACCTATAGAAGAGATAGGAGAGAACCAGTAATTATCCTCTATTTCGATATAAGGAAAGCCTTCGATAGAGTCCCGCATAGTCCGTTAGTCAGCAGGCTATGCTCACTAGGGATACGCAACCCCCTCCACAACTGGATGAAATCATTTGTCTGTGACAGAAATGAGACAACAAAAATTGAGTCCATGACCTCCAGGCCTAGGTCGATTAGCAGTGGTGTCATCCAGGGGAGTGTATTGGG